GATGACCAAAATTATTTTGTAAACTTTCATAATTCTGGAGTCAATGCAAAGATTACACATGATTGGCTGCCAAACCCTAGCACCTAACAGTTCGACCAATGAGAGAGCTGCTTGATTTTACAAAATAGCACTGTGTTTCATTTATTCACACTAAATACCAAATATAGTGTTTGCTATTTTTAAAAGCAGTACTGAGCATGTAGCGGACAACAATGCCTCAAGAAATATAACTTATCTCAGATATTTGCAGAGAATGACCTTCATATCATTTGTGCAACTGTACCAGAAAAAACAACAACATGAAACAGACCATGAAAATTGAATGAGTATGTCACAGGCTGCAAATATGTTTTCTGTTAAATACACTAATATTTGATGTGGAGATTAATATCCAATTGTAAAACAATTTGATTTGCCGAATTACTGACTCATAATATGTTTTCATATTTGGCAAAGTTCTGAGAAAATTTTGTTTTGTATGCACCCACTTAGAATATCTGCACTCGAAAATGGAATTGCCCGAGAGCATTAAAGATAAAACTCAATAACAGTGTTTAAACATAGTTGAACTCTGGTGACCTTGCCCTTTGTTATATAATATTATTCCTTTTGTCATAGTTTGTTTCAATATGAATATGCATTGTCATAATTTTGAATACAAACAAGTTTTGGGGTTGAAACAGTGAGAAAGCAGTTTACCGAATGTCCTCAATAGATGTAAATATCTTACAAAAACATTGGTGCCTAATTTGTTTAATTATTTTAAGGGACATAATTTTCAGCTTTATTCAAAGTATTAAATTCAGATTTTTTTATAATAAAAACAAATGCCGCATCTCAGAAAAAAAGTGCTGCATTTAGAAGTGAATAGATTCATAAATCACACAAGATACCAGAAAATCTTAGCTGGCTAAGGTGTACAGGTGTCTGTCAATAATTAATGATTCACCGAGACAAATATGAACTGCCTTATTACCAAACGCTTCAGCGTGGTATTAAGATTTTGTTTTCAGGCTTGGGTGGTACCAAGGTGGAAAATGGTTGCACATATGGGGGGTAATTCCTGGAATTGCAATAGAGAGGGTTCAGGCCGAAATACATATATATAGTGTTTCCATGTTTCGTCTGATATTTCTGTGGTATTCTGCTGCTGTAAATAATGCAAGATTT